CCATATGTTTAGGGGCAATGTCTCTTATTATAAAGCAGTATTTTGTAAACCTCTTGGGAAAGGAGCATGGCTTCTGGAATCCCCCTAAAGTTCCATGCACAGTTACAGAACAATATAAATCATGTTAAAGCCTCTCAAAACAGGTTCTGTGACTGAGAACCAATTCTGATTTTTTTTTCTTTTAAAAAATGTGCTGTATATAGCACCCAGATGCCATTCCACTCTCAAGTACCATGCAGAGCAAAATTAAAAGATTATACTGGCAGTTGGTGCATGCCCACCCGAGAATGAGATTCATTGAGCATTGCAGCGAAGGCCATTGAGGAAACGCATCTAGGTCTGTGCTGTAAAACTCAACAGCCAAAAGAATAGAACCATACTAAAACCCAATAATGTAAAACTCGCAATGGAGCAATAAAAAAACAAAGGAAGATGGGCTGCAGTTCGGTAGCACAGTCTGTGCTTTGCTGGCATCTGAAGGTAGAGCTTTCTCTTTGAAACCCTGGAGAAAGGTACTGCCAATCTGTATTGGCAAAGTGCAACTCTGGGGTGGCATGGGACCCACAAGGTTGTTTCATGGGATCTGTCGGGAGCATAGCTTCTGCTATAGATGGGTTTCAGAGTTCTTATTAACATCATGGCTGAACATGAACAGCAACCTTTGTTGTTGTTGTTAACTGCCTTTGCATCGGTCTTGACCCATGGCAACCCTATGGATGAGACCTCTCCAGGCCCCCTATCCTTTACTGCTCTGCCCAGTTCCTGCAAACTCATATTCGTTGTCTCTTTAATAAAGTCCATCCATCTGTTATGTGGCCTTCCTCTCTTTCTACTTCACCTTTCCTAACATTAATGTCTTTTCCAACAATTCATGCCTTCTCATGATGTGTCCAAAGTACAACAGTCTAAGTCTTGTCCTCTTGGCTTCTAGGGATCTCTCTGGCTTGATCTGATCTAGGATCCACTTGTTTGTCCTTTTGGCTGTCCATGAAATCCTCAGCACTCTTCTCCAGCACCACATTATCTCAAATGCATTGATCTTCTTTCTGTACTGTCCAGCTCTCACATCCATCCATGGTAATAGGCCCGCAGTGGTCCCCAAACTTTGGTCCTCCAAGTGTTTTGTACTTCAGCTTCCAGAATTCTTGACAGTGGGCCAAGCTGTCTGGGGCTTCTGGGAACTGGAGTCCAAAAGACCTGGAAAACCAAAGTTTGGGGACCACTATATAGGAAATACAATGGCTTGTATGATTATGACTTTTGTGTTGAGTTGCATGTCTGCATTTTAGGATCTTTTCTAGTTCTTTCATAGCCACCCTCCTCATTCTTAGCCTTCTTCTGATTTCCTGACTGCAGTCTCCACTTCTATCCATATTTGATCCCAGGTATGGGAATTCTTTTACTATCTGTGGTCATTATTTTTGTCTTCTTTATGTTCAACATTAAGCCTGCCTTTGCACTTCCTTCTTTGATCTTCCTTAGTAGTTGTTCCAGATCTGTGAGGTTTTTTGCTAGTATTATGGTGTCGTCAGCATATCTCAGATTGTTGATATTTCTTCCTTCTATTTTCACTCCTCCCTCTTCCATGTCCAAGCCTGCTTTCCTTACAATATGTTCTGCATATAAGTTGAATAGGTAGGGTGATAGGATGCAGCCTTGTCTGACTTCTTTGCCAATTGGGAACCATTCTTTTTCTCTATGTTCTGTTCTGACATTAGCCTCTTGTCCTGAGTACAGATTCCTCATCAGGACTATCAGATGTGTTGGCATTTCCATGTCTTTAAGGGCGTTCCATAGCCTTTCATGATCTATGCAGTCAAAGGCTTTGCTATAGTCTATAAAGCACATGCTGATTTTCTTTTGGAATTCCCTGCTGTGCTCCATTAGCCATCATATGTTTGCAATGTGGTCCCTTGTGCCTCTTCCTTTCCTGAACCCTGCTTGGACTTCTGGGATTTCTCTCTCCATGTGTTGTTGGAGTCTATGTTGCAGTATTTTGAGCATAATTTTCCCTGCATTAGAGATTAGAGCTATGGTCCTATAGTTGCTGCAGTCTCTTGTGTCTCCTTTTTGTGGACGGGGATATATATTGATCGCTTCCAATCTGTTGGCCATCGTTTTGTTTTCCGTATCTGTTGACATACGTTGGTTAGCACTAGAGTTGACTCTGTCAGTGTGGATTGCAACAGTTCTATTGGTATATCATCTGTTCCTGGAGTCTTGTTTTTTGCCATTTCTTTTATTGCAGCTTCCACCTCAGTTTTTTAGAATTTGGGGTTCATCTTCATATGGCTCTTTGCTCCATGTGTCCTTCATTTTGTCATCTCTTTTGTATCGTTCTTCTATGTATTGCATCCAACATCTTTTTATTCCTTCCTGGTCTTGAATTATGTTATTTTTATTGTCGTAGAGTGTCCTGGTCCTTGGTTTGAACTTTCCCTTGATTTCTCGAATCTTGTGGAATAGGTCTCTCATTCTTCCCTTTTTGTTGTTGTCTTCTATTTCTCTACATTTGTCATTGTAATAATTTTCCTTATCTTTGCGCACTAGCCGTTGTACTGTTGTGTTCATAATTCTTAGTTTATTCCTGTCTCCATTGTGTTTTGTTTCTCTTCTTTCCTTTATTGCTTGTAGCGTTTTATCTGTCATCCATGGTTTCTTCACTTTCCTTTTGTTTGTTGGAAGTGTCTTTATGCATTCTTCTTTTATTATGTTCCTGGCTTCAGACTAAAGCTCTTCTAGTTCACGATCTCTTATATTTAGTACTGCAAATCTGTTCCTTATATTGTCAATGAATTCTGTGGAAATGTTGTTTAAATCATATTTTGGTATGATTACTGGTTTTGTTCTCTTCTTGAGTTGTACTTTTATTTTTCAAATGAGTAGTTCATGATCTGTGCCACAATCAACACCTGGTCTAGTCTTGGTCACCAGTATGGAGCTTTGCTATCTTTTACTTCCAATTATGCAATCTATTTGGTTTTTGTGTTAACTGTCTGGTGATGTCCATGTGTATAACCTTTTCTCTGGTTGTTTATAAAATGTGTTTGCAATGAATAGGTTGTTGGCATTACAAAAATCTATCAGACGCTCACCTGCTTCATTGCTTTTGTCTAGTCCAAATCTGCCTACCGTTTTTGATTCTTCTTTACTTCCAACTTTTGCGTTCCAATCTCCAATGATCAGCTTGATAGCTTGTGTTGGTGTGTTGTCAATTTCTTCCTGTACTCCTTCATAAAATCTAACAATTTCTTCTTGTTCTGCTTCAGTGGTTGGTGCATATACTTGAATTAGGGTGATATTCATAGGTTTCCCATGGAGCCTTATTGAGATGATTTGGTCTGATTTTGCATTGTATCCTCTAACTGCTTTTGCAAAGTCTTTTATTAGGATGAAAGCCATCCCATTTCTTCTTATCACAGCAACCTAGTGACATATAAAGCATTAATGTGTATACAGCCAGACCTACTAATAATAATAATAATAATAATAATAATAATAATAATCTTTTATTTCTTACCCACCTCTCCTCACAGCTCAAGGCAGGTTACTACATAGTTAAAAACACATTTTTACATAAAATACACATATTAAAAATGCAACTCT